ATGGGGACAGGGTCACCCTCGAAGAGCAAACAGACATTAGGGAGTGGGAACCCATCCCAGGGCAGTCCTGGTGTCCCTGGTGTCCTTGGTTCCCTTTTCCGCAGAAGCCAGAGTGGGATTTGGCCTATTTTCCCCACAGTTAACCCCACAAGCACAAGCTAGAAGCCCAGCAAGCTTTTTTTTTGTTTGTCACAGGTATGAAAGGCTCTCTTTTCACTCTTATTCTCTTAGAGCCATCTGTTCGAAACACTTTCAAAATGACAGCAATTAGAGATAAGAGCTAATAACGTTCCAACCTGCACGCTGAGAAATGCCATTTAATCACTATTGGCTTGGCTGGCAAATAAGGAGCAGCATCCGACTGGACAAGGGTGATAAAGCTCCCATGCCGGCTCAAATGAAGAGCCCAGCTGCAGTGTTTGCCACCGTGAATTGTAGCTGCAAGACCTGGAATCTGGCCTAAAGAGCTGATATAAATCCAGCAAAATAAATCTTTCGCTACTGCCTGTGGTTTCACGCTGCCTTAACTCAACTCTTTTACCTAACCTCTGACCTTCCTTTGTAATTTTTCATATTTCCCAGGTAAAACTCAGGGTGCTCATTAGCGGGAGGCTGAGCCAAGAGCACCGGGGAGTTCACGCTTTCTCCCGAGGGAGATAAACCGGGCCGTGCTGGGGCGTGCTAGTGAGAAACCTCTGGCAAGCCCAGCGATGCTCTGCACTTAATTTCACAGCGGCAGGAGCATCATTCTATTTTCTTCTCATGCACCTTGTGACAAAAACGAACGCCATGAAATCGCGCCCAGAAAGCACGAGCTGGGGTGGAAGGTGCTCTCCCACCGACAGCTGCAGGGAAGCTTTCCGGTCCCGGAGCAGCTGCGGCGCTGGGCTGGGGCAAGCGGCCGCGCTCCCCGGCAGGTGCAGCGAGCAGGATCCAAGCGCAACGGCCTGTCCCAAAATGACCGTTTGGGTGCATGCCTGTAAATCAAAAGATGCCAACAACTGACTGGGAAGGTTTCTTAATTACAAAACAGATCTCCCCCTCAGCTGACAGTCTTACCTACCAGGTTTAATCGTAAAGCAAATATTTTGTGTTCGACTAATAAACCTTTCAAAACCAGGAATTAATAACAGAAGCGGCAACTCCACCTAAATGACAAACTTTATGCAATTTTTAAGAGCAACGCTAACATCTTGCAGCCAGTGCCAATAAAAAGAAAGCAACCGCCACTTTTAGTCAGCGTGTTGTGACACAATATTTGCAATCTCTGAGCAGGCGGAAAAACAAAATGTTTCCACCTGCCAACTTTATCCTTCTCTCTTTGGCAAACATATTTTGCGATGATGTATAGAAAACACCAGGTCCGGGGCAAGGAGGGGGCCAGGCTGGAGAGCAGCAGACGTCTGCTCGGAGCGCCTGTAACTGTACCCCTGGCAGACCTTTGTGCCAAGGTCCTAAAACACACCTTACACATTTCATGCATTTCGCCCTCAGTTTTCGGTTGTGCACGTATGCCCATGGGGGCCACGAGGCTGCCTGCTCTTTGCCCACACGTGCCGAGCTGCTGCCCGCTGCTCCCATCCATGGGCACCTCTGCCACGGAAGTCCTTGTTCATCATAAGCCTTCCCTCCTGCTTCGTAATAAACACGTCACGAGGAATGCTGCCAGAACCGTCCATTTGGGTTTTGGATGGATTTAAAACTGTTCACCCACAAAGCGGCTCTTGGAAACAGATTTGCTCCTGCGGTGCACACAGAGCAGCGCTCCCCACCCGCCGTTGAGGTATTCGTCTGTAAGGGGACATGCACACAGTGACCCCTCCGCAGGGTGGGTGCCCGGCCCTTCGCTGAGCCTCGGCAGCTGTATTTAAATTCACTTTTTATGCGATGTACTTTGCTACAACAGTTTTACTGGGAAGCGGCTTCAGTTCCTCTTGGGAGGTGTGCTGCCGGGGCGAGCGAGGCCACGCTTCAGCCCTAAGTCGGGTATTTCTTGTTTGCAACACTGCAGAAACAATTTCTTTAATTTTTGGAAATAAATGTGTCTGAAAAGCATTTCATCCTGACTCGCAAGCTGTGTCGTCCCAGCTCACTGGGCACTCCCTGAAATTGTGCAGACCAAATTTCCCCCTCCGGCCGCCGGCCCTGGCCGGCCGCGCCACGCCGGGGCTGCAGCGCCCGCAAGCCCGCC